GGTGGTGGTAGTAAAAGTCGTTTATTATAACTATAAAGAACCCAATGCCGTTAATGACAATAAAGTCCAACAAAATTTCATTAGATGAACGGATATGTGGCGGGAACGGACCAGGGGCTTAGATATCTGGCGGGAACTGGTCAGGTAATCAACTGCACAGATCCCCTATGACCACACCTGGTCATAAGTTGTAGCGGGGGTCACAAAAGTGGCTAAGATATTATAACTATAATGAATCCAATATCTTTAATGGAAATAAAGTCCAAGAAAAAATTCATAAAATGATCGAATTAGAATTGAAGACGAGGAAGTATGTGAAAAGTCAGACTCAGTTATGTTACAATTTATTATGTTATTGTGATAACTAATCGACACAAATATCAGACTTTCTTTGTTAATCAAGAGCTGAAGAAATAGAACAAAGGTATATTTGAAGAACTGCCTGCCCTAAGGTCAATGTCTTAGCAACGAACGCTTCCTAGTGAGCGGATCAATAAATAGAATGTGCCAGTAATGAACGAAATTGTACATACTCTTACTTCTATTTTACAAATAAACGGGCGATATTTCAGTAGCGGTGAAGATGAAGAAAAACTGCACATCAATTTGAACAAAAGCCAGCCATTCTCGTATAGCCGATCTCTTCCAAAAGTTAGCGGACGTTAATCGAACAATCGGCTATTCGTTTGAATATATATATATATATATATATATATATATATATATATATATATATATATATTTTCAAATATAAATATATATATATATATATAAATCTTATAAGTATAAGAAACTATACTCCTTTGAAAACCTTCGGTGTCTTGATTTGCAAATAAACAAGCCAATACCAATGAGAAAAAAAGGTATAAAAAAAGAAAGAACCAAGAACATGTACGTTAGCCGAAAATAATCGTCCAGCATACAATTCCAAGGCCCAAAGAAAAAAAACCCGGTGTGAGTACCCAAAATAACTAAATAAAGTGCTCAATACAATGAGTAGAGCAGACCTAGTTAAACCTAGAGGGTCAGACAAACCTACTAAGGTTTCACCTAAGCGGATCGTCAGGGAAGGCTGAAACCTAGGTTGGTTTGTCTGGCTCTCTAGGTTTAACTATATATATATATATATATATAGTGTAACCCAGATATAAGAGAGTTGTCGGGACCGGAGAAAGAAGTCTCTTATGTCCGGGTTTCTCTTATATCCGAGTTTGGTCTATTTTATATACATTAACACAGGCTCTAATTTGGGACCAGGGAAAATCTCTCTTATATCCGGGTTTCTCTTATATCCGGGTTATAATATATATATATATGATTTTCGGATTCATATTTGATGGAGTAATGGATAGCGGCTCGGATTGTTGAATCGGATAGCCGAGTTCGAATTCCAGTTTACGTGCTATTACCCTTGGGAAAAGGTATGAATCCTCTTCTCCTCCTCTCATGGATAAATAGCAGCTATGGGTAAATAGCAGGACAGACCGAATCCTATAGCCTTGGATGGCAATTGGTCTACTACAGAAAGAAATGAAAAAAAATTGCCTCGTCAGTACCGAAAGATACATGATCGCCGAAGAGTGTATCACGCATGGCACATAACTGATTTTGGTCGGTTAGATGACCTAAACTTTTGGTCTAATCGGGTTCAATAGTAATCGACGAGATAATAAGGGTCGGCTTCTTCGACAATGACGACTTTAGACCTTGGCTCATTACAGGCGAACAGACGATCTTACAGTTGATGAATATGTACGCGTGTCTATGTATGACACTCAAAGATGTACAGACATATGTACAGATGACGACCAAAGCTGCTAAAGATGCAATTCTGTATTGACAAAAATCGACACATATATACACATTTTTAAAATTACATTTTTTTAAATACTGAGGTCGTTGAATTGTAGTGAGCATTTCCATTTATGATTAGTAAATACAGTTTTAATCTAATAACAATATCACTTTGTCCCTACAAATCAATACAGAATTTTTAAATATTTAAAAGTTTATAAATGATTATAATTAATAAATAATAAAACTTTTGGAAAAATTCCTTATCGAATTATTTTTTTGTCTCATGACAGTAATAACCGTAGCATATTTTATTGATAAAAGCAAGTAAAAACTTTTCTAATTAAATAATATTTTAATTTTATTGTATTTTTATTTTACGATTGAGAACAGATTTTCTGTAACTGGAGATCCTATTTAACCCCGCCAGAAATTATTGATTTAAATTATCTGAGAACTTGTGTCGGAGTTAGCTCCTCCTTAATTCCCTAATTGTTCACTAGGGGTCGCTCTCCTTACACTATAAATACTGGGCAACTTCTTGCCTCGTTCTCTTTTTAACTTTGCATTTCAGGGGATACATTTAAAAATGTGATCTCTCGCAGAAATCTGCGTTTTGCCCACTTGTGGTAAAACGCCATGAAACACATATACACGTACGTACGAAATTTCACCAAAATACTGACTCTTTACGTTCACACACAAGCACAAATGTTGATGTCTTTGTCACTTGTAAATTTGTTGTTTAATACATATATTTGTCGATATATATATATATCGGTCTTGTTTGTTTTCTTTACATCTTCGGTTGGACTCAACTTGAGTCCGCATTGTTCTTGTAGTTGGACATTCTTCTAGCAGGTATAAACAGAATGTGTCCCTAATTCAACAACACTCAAACCCACAGGGTCGCTTACACTTGTCCTTATAACTAATATAAATATTAAGGGATACACAAAAGAATTTCTACAGATTTCATGAAATTAAATGAGTGGCCAAGAGAACAGATGTAAAGAAAAATATTTTTGCCAAGTTTTTCTAAAATGGAAACATTTTTTTTAATAATTAATTAATTTCTGGATAAGTCCTTAAAGATTTATTAAAATCTGACAATTATCATTTTTTTTTTTTTTTTTTTTGCAAGAGTTTTTTTTTTCACCGCAAAAAAGACAGTCAAATTTGCTGTAATAAAATTTAAGATCCCACGTTGACGCCAGAAAAAAATAGTGTTTATATTTTTAGCCAAAATTTCCAAGGTTCCAAAAAGGATGCAAAAATAATGTTTATATCCTTTGAACTTTCCTCCTAATAATAAAACAAAGATTTTGACGATAAAATTTTGTTTTTATTATGTTGTGGCCATTTTTTCATCATCTACCCCAGGCATTCTCAACGGGGGCGACATCGCCCTCCCAGGGGACGATTATTTCTCTGATGTTGGGCGAGGTTGGGGGGTTGCTTCGATGTTTTCACAAACAAGTTCTTTTATAAGTGGAAACATTCATAAGTAAGAATTATTGTATTTTAGATGACCTGAAATAGTGATTTTCAAAGCGTAGCTTAGATGGGGCACAAGGCCGAAAGAATGGGGGTACCCAGTGAGGATCGAACTCTCTATACAACCGTAAATGTTCTCACGAGAGAAGCTTGCTAACCATTACACCGCTTCGAGGTGTCCAAGATGACCCGAAATATAGAAAAATAAACAAAATCTTTTATTGGTTTTAAGTTTTCATATACAGTCCGTCGGCAATTATTATTCAAATCACGTAAACACCAATAACTCAAATTTGCTTTGAAACATTTTTGTCGAATTTTTAAATGATTAATTCAGACGTCAAAAGAAAGCTTAAGTTAAAATTTTAATTAAGTATGATTTACAAAGTGCGCACAGCTACAGATATAAATGCAATTTTAATATTTTCATTTATTCCACTCAGTTTTGATGATTTGGGATGGCCTAACATTTATTAGCATAATAATCAAATTCGATAAGATGTTTGAATCCCAGAAGAGTCACTTCACATTAATATCTTTACAAAATACACGAATTCACTTCTCTTTGCGCTTTATCTACCTAAATTATCGAATAGGTCTCGCCTCTTGTATACCACGATAGTTAGTAAGAAACTCTGCTATAACTATCTTACTTGACCAGATATAGTTAGTCATTTATGTGCCATGCATGATACACGCTTAGGCGATCATGTATCTTTCGATACATGACTGACGAGGCAGATTTTTTTTTCCCGCAGTAGGTTACCATTTCTTTCTACGGTAGATCAGTTGCCATCCAAGCTATATAACCAGATTTGTCCTACTATTTACCCATAGCTGGAGGAGAAGAAGAGGATTCACACCTTTCCCAAGGGTATTGGCACGTAAGTGAATGTAATGGATTTGACTGGAATTCGAAGTCGGCTCTCCGATTCCTCAATCCATTACTCCACCGTGTTTAAACTGCTACGTTCCTTGTCAGTCTTGACAAGATTAGGCTTGTAATTTGACTGCAATTTTGAAGCGGCTGATTACTTTTCTTGAACTCTGCGGAAATAGCTAGAGATTAAACGAATTTGAATATTTTTGTCTACCCCGAACTAGAATACAGAAGCCGGCGAATAATGTAGGAAATATGCGTGGGAAGCCACAAGAAAATAAAAAATTTTTCCAGTGTTTTGCAAAAAGCAATCTGGTTGTTATGGACGCACATAAAAATTTCACATATATTATGAGCAGCTAATAACAAAATACCTTTCATTCCCAATTATCATTCGTGCAAGTGAAATCAGGCGGTTATCTCCCCTGTTTGGACAATCGTAGGCGTGAACGCAAGTGAGACGCATGCGCATACGTTCTTTCGTTGCGTGCATGTTTATCCTGTATTTACGAATGTGTAAAACCATTTATGCGAACGCACGGAAACTTTGATGCACTCATTCACACATGCGTTTATATTATGCAATATCCGCGCATCCCACCCACACAGTAACATATGCGCTTGCCCACACAAAAGGTAAATCTATCGAAGAACAAAGATCAATATATCACTGGCTGATCATAATAGCGGCATGTGAAAGAAAGGTTTCCTGTATTTTCATTTTTTTTTTTTTTTTTGCTGTTGCTGTTTTTTTGTTTAATTATTTTTTTTAAAAGTGTTTTTTTATTTTTTTGTCATTCTTGTCCCGTGCGTTTTCTTTCTTTGTGAGTGCGTGTTTTTCTATTGTTCTCTTTCTTTCTTTTTTTCTTTCTTTTTTCTTTCTTTTTTTCTTTCTTTCTTTCTTTCTATCTTCGTACCTATTTCTTTTTTCTTTCTTTCTTTTTTTCTTTTTTTCTTTCTTTTTTCTCTCTTTCTTTCTTTTTTCTTTCTTTCTGTCTTCATACCTATTTCTTTTTTCTTTCTTTTTTCTTCTTTCTTTCTTTCTTTTTTCTTTCTTTCTGTCTTCGTACCTATTTCTTTCTTTCTTTTCTTTTTTCTCTCTTTCTTTCTTTTTTCTTTCTTTCTGTCTTTATACCTATTTCTTTTTTCTTTCTTTCTTCTTTCTTTCTTTTTTCTTTCTTTCTGTCTGTCTTCGTACCTATTTCTTTCTTTCTTTTCTTTTTTCTTTCTTTTTTCTCTCTTTCTTTCTTTTTTTCTTTCTTTCTGTCTTCGCCCCTATTTCTTTTTTCATGCCTTTCTTTTTCTCTGTTTACTTCGCTTATTCATTCCATTGTTCGACTTCTTTTTTTTTTTTAACAATATTCTTTCTTTTGATCACTAGCTGATCATAGGATTTGGTGTGTGGATCACTTCGACGTCATGAAATGGTTAACAAGCTTATCTCCCTAGATCAATTACGACTGAGTAGTGAGTATGTTCCTCACTTGGCACTCCACACTTTCAGCTTTGTGGTACATCTAAGCTATGCTTATAAAATCATTTTGGGCATTTCGACGTGGCGTAATATTTAGCAAATTTGTCTCTCTACATCAATTACGACTGAGTAGTGAGTTCGATCCTTACTAGGTGTTCCAAACATTTGGGCTTGTGCCACATCTAAGCTACGACTAGAAAACTATTTTGGGCATTTCGACGTGGTGTAATAGTCAGAAAATTTATCTCGTTAGATCAATTACGTCTGAATAGTGACTTTGATCCGCACTGGGTGTCCCATGCTTTCAACCTTGTGCTACATCTAAGCTAGACTTTTTTTATTTTTTTTTTTTTTTTGGCTGTTATTTTTTTTTAATTCTTAACTTGTCCTTCCGTTTTATTTATTACTGTCCCTGTCTTCTTTCCCTTTTTGTATCTGTCCTTCTTTCTTTCTTTCTTTCTGTTTCCTTTTCTTTTTCTGTCCTTCTTTTTTTCCTTTCTTTTTCTCTTTTATTTTCTTTTACTGTTATTGTTTCTTTTTCTCTGTCTCCTCCCTTTACTAATTCCGTTTTTTTTTTGGGGGGGGCAACATGTCTTCTCTTGTTTAATAGCAAAAAATAATGGCGGCATATAAGAGAAAGAGAGAGTGTGCGTGTGTGTGAAAGAGAGAAGGTAAGAGATTGTGAGAGAGAGTAAGAGAGAAAGTGAGAGAGGGTGAGAGAGAGAGTGAGTGAATTAAAGAGAGTGAGAGTTTCATTTTCGTATTTGCTGTTGTAGTTTTTAATTTTCTTTCTTTTTCATTTCTTCTTTCTCCCTGTTAACTTTCGTGTTTTTGTGTGTGTGTGAGAGAGAGAGAGAGAGTTTCTAGTGTTCTTTTTTCATTTGATTTGTTTTTTACGGCTTATCAACCCTTTGCAAGTTATTTAAAGCCAGGGAGAATTTTTAGATTGTAATTTTTTTTTTGTCTTTTTTTTTAGATACTAATGATTTTAGTGATACAAATCTTACTGATTAACCCATAGCTGGCGGGAGGAGAGGTGAATTCATACCTTTCCCAAGGGATTTTTGCGTAAGTGAATATAACAGAACCAGTAGGAATTGGAACTCGGCTCTCCGATTTCAAATTCAGAACCATTATCCATTAAACCACCTGCATATCCAAGCTTATAGCACCTTGTATTCTTGGGAATACAAGGTGCTATAAGCTCTTGGGAGGTCACCCATCTATGTACTGACCCGGTTCGAGGTTGCTTGACTTCGTAGGTGTAAGCTGGCTCTGTTTTCATTCTTTCTTTTTTCTTTTCCTCTTTTTCCTTCCTTTATTCTCTCCCTTTATCTTTTCTTTTTCTTCAACGTCTTCGTTGTACTATTTTTTTCTCTTTCATTATCACATTCTTTCGTTTTTCTATCGTTCCCTTATGTGCTTCAGAATTCTTGCAGTAACCATTACACCATGGCGAGGCGCACTTTCACCATCCCTCCTCTATTTACCATTTATCCTCCTTTTTTTTCCTCCCTACCAAGATCGTTCCTTTCCAGATCTTGTGACCTCTGCGCACTTTTTCGAGGTTTTCCTCTGCCCCTCTCCTTTACGTTACCTCTCTATTTCTCTCGTTTCTGTTTTAATTTTCCCTCTCTTCTTGGCCGCCTGTCTCTCCGGCCGACGACCGCCGTCTTTCTTGTTGCTCAGTTATGACCAGAATGATTGTTGATGACGTCATTGTAACTCTAGCAACAAATCACCGCTTAGCTTGGAGGAATGTTTCTCGGTCACATTTCTCGAACAAACATCTTTAAACACACATACGCACACACGGGACAACAAGAAGAGAGAGAGATTAAGAGAGAGAGAGAGAGAGAAAGAGGGTGAAAAACAGACACACAGACACGTACATATAAATTAAATACGAAGGTGAATCGTTAAGTACGTAACCTGACACGTTGTTATTATTTGAATTTTGATCGGAATTTTCACTGTTTCAGTATTTGATCTGTGTGATTGATATTCACCACAGAATTAAGTGCATTGACAAGGAGTGAGATTATGTCGAATATAAATATTTGTTTTGTAAAATAAATGCTTTTGTCATCATTAAATTATGGATTTATTGATCTGCCTAAAGGATTCCTGAGTAATTCTGTTATAAAAAATGAAACATATTCAGTGCGAACGTCAGAATTTTCTATCTCTCTCTCCTTCCCACTCTCACAACTCTTCTCTCTCTCTCTCCTTCCCACTCTCACAACTCTTTTCTCTCTCTCCTTCCCACTCTCACAACTCTTCTCTCTCTCTCTCTCTCTCTCTCTCACACACACACACACACACACACACACATAAGTGTATATTGGAAAATATGATATATAAACTATATTTCAAACAAATGTTGGGTAATTGAATGACAAAACGAAATAACATCCTATGTGACGCGTTTCGGCCTCCAAAAGGTCTTCTTCAGTATATATCACATACATAAATATTTAAGAGTCTATTGCTACCGTATTATTAAATCAGTTGTTACATGATCATCCATGCATTTGACCTTGCGCCAGACGAAACTGAGCCCAACCAATACAGATAGTATCTACCCACTAAGCGGTCGAATTTAACATCATCATCATCATCATCATCATCCCGTTGACTTTTTTAATTGTAGAGCGTCCACCTTCAACGGTGTCTTGCATGACGGTCTTGCACAGATTTACTGATCATAGTTTAACACGGCCCAAATCGAAAACAGCAGGAACAGAAGTTAGGAAGATTGTGCTCGGAAAGTTGGTCCTCTGTTTCGCGCCAGAAAGTTTTTTCTCGCCCGAGTCCATCCTTCAAATCTATAAATCAACCATTCGCCCTTGCATGGAGTACTGCTGCCATATATGGCCTGGAGCCCCCACTGTTCGTCTTAAGGTCCTCGACAAATTACAGAGACGGATATGCAATATGATTGGCCCTGATCTGGCATCTCGTTTACAGTCGCTCTCTCACAGACGTGCCGTCGCTTCCTTCTGTCTTTTCTACAAATATTTTCACGGTAACTGCTCCGACGAACTACTTTCGCTAGTTCCCAAACTGCATGAATTTAAACGTGCTACTAGGTTGACATCCACGCTTTACTGTCGAAATGGTTAAATGTAGCCATCTCTTCTACTCCAATAGCTTCATGTCTTGCACTTCCCGTCTGTGGAACTCCCTTCCTCTTACTTGCTTCCCTGATAGCTATGATCTCCAAATATTCAAATGCAATGTCAATCGACATCTCCAGATGCCTTAGTCTATTCCCCGTCCTTCTCTAATCCTTTACTCTATCATGCCTCTTTAATCTTGCTCCCACTCTCTGTAACCCCTTGCGTGCTAGTGGCACTCTCGCCTTGCTTGGGGTGAAATGCTAAAAATAAAATAAACAGTTTTAAAAGTAGTGGGTATATTAACTGTTTTTTTTTTTCGACGTCAGATTATAGAGCTCACAGCATTGTGCCGCAGTTAACTGTGAACGTAATCTTGTCAATATAACTGATTTTGTATTCTGAGTTATCGTTCTTGCTAACTATGGCTACAGAGCCGAGATTACACTGGTTTAAATCATAACTAAAGGACACAGACATGGCTTCAAACCTTCCCCAAAAGATTTTATGAGTAAGCGAATGTAAAGAACTCGGCTAGAATTTGAATTTGCTGCTCACCAAAAGATCAGAGAAATTGCTGCCCACCAAAAGATCATAGAAATTGCTGCTCACTAAAAGATCATAGAATTTTCTGCACACTAAAAGACCATAGAATTTACTGCTCACCAAAAGATCATAGAATTTGCTGCTCACTAAAAGATCATATAATTTACTGCTCACTAAAAGTTCACAGAATTTACTGTTCGCCAAATTATCGTAGAATCCTCAATGACTGGATGATTCCGACTGCAGTCGAACAGATGATGATGAACATCGACTGTTAGCGAGTTTTCCAATCCACTTATTCTTTTATATGTTCTATTAATTCATGACTCTCCACAACTTCCTATCCTTTGTAGCATTAAGTAACGTTTGATGCCCTACTATTCTTTTTTGTTTATATTCTGTCATTTGCAGAAGCTTTTTCATTATGATATTCTCTGATTCTTCCTTCCCCTCTTGCATTTCAAATATTCTGTGAATAACAGATTCTCCAAGCCTTCTTTACGTATTCCAGAAATTTTTAATATATCTTTCTAATCTTAAAAAACTGTTCTTTGTGATTCACACAACAGTTAAAGGTATAGGAGAAAGTAAACGTAACCAAAATGATATTCGAACGTTTTTTGTTGATTCTGTGTCGATAATTGTTGTGACACCTGTAAAGAAGGAAGTGAGATAGATAGATAGATAGATAGATAGATAGATAGATAGATAGATAGATATACATGAAAATGTTGAGATAAATACTGAAGATGAGATAGATAGATAGATAGATAGATAGATAGATAGATATACATGAAAATGTTGAGATAAATACTGAAGATGAGATAGATAGATAGATAGATAGATAGATAGATAGATAGATAGATAGATAGATATGCATGAAAATGTTGAGATAAATACTGAAGAAGATGAGATAGATAGATACTGAAAGAGATGAGATAGATAGATAGATAGATAGATAGATAGATAGATAGATAGATAGATAGATAGATAGATAGATAGATCTGCCAGTGGGGGGATATTTTCAATGTTCCTTCGTCGACACAGTTCGACACGGCACTACCGTGGAAAACTTGCTCAAGTCCAATCGGCTTTTGGGAAGGTCTCAAACGCTGACGAATGACCCCAAACCCAATGGCCTAAAGTATGGAGCACCCAATGAAGATGGAACTCACTACTCAATCGTAATTAATCGAGCGAAACAAGCTTGTTAACCATTACACAACATCAAGGTACTCTAGATCTA